TATATATTTTGGTGTTCCAAAAAAATTATATATAAAATGATGTCAACAAGTAAGACAAATGACATCGCTATATATGCATTATTTAGGTTGTCTTTTGACAAAGTAGGCATTGAAATATAATAAAACCGTTATAATGAAATAGCAAAACTTATAGTACAAAATAATAATATCATTGGAAAAGATAAACAAGTTCAATCATTTGACAGGAAAAGGCCAGTGATCACAGTGACACAAATATGGTTTTGGGAATTTGGAACTCAAGAAAACAAGTACAATTAGGATAGTAATTTCACCTTTGAGGGGAGTATAACCCTTTTCAACAAGATCATGATAGTGAGTGTAAGCCAAAACTCCGCAAGTACTCGGCGTCCAGAATAATACTTCTGGCAACCCAAACTTTTGGGCAACTTTAAGCGTAAAGCTCATGCACCCATCGGATATTATACAGGTTGGAGGTGGCACGTCAGACTCCTCGCCACCTTTAAGCATATTAATCAGCTCACAGAAAGGTTCGAAACTGTGCTTAGGAACAGATTCACAGAGGGCCGGGATGGACTGGGTGGCTTCAGCATCAGATGGCGGAAGACCGTCGGGGATGGCGTAGAAACGAAAATCAGGCAGACCATCAAGGGATGAAGGACCTCGGGATCGGAGCAGGCGGCTATGGTTGTAGTGGGTGTTGACGAAGGAAATATGGAAGCCCTTAAAATGAAGGAGCTTGGCAAGTTTCATCATTGGGTTGATGTGGCCTTGTGCTGGATAGGGGATACATATAGCATGTGGCTTCTCCATTTCTGCTATGGAACCCATCTTCTCCGGTATGTATTTTATGTGTATTGAGGGAGAAAGAAAGAAGCGGTGGTAGTATTTATAGGAGAAAAATTAAAAGCATAAATGGAAGGTTAGCTTAATTACAATTAGGCTAAGGGGAGTCGTAACACTCCTAACACCTTGCCACATAAGATCTTTGACTGACACATCATTTTTCACTATTTAATACCTAATCTTAACATTTGGTATGGAGTGGTAACACTTCTAGCATTTTATTTTTTTTATTTTCTTTTTCTAATTTAATTAAATTATTTTATTTTAATATATAAATATTTTTTGTGCATAAATATTAAACAATTTTTATTTTTTTAAACAAAAAACAATTAATATAATATAAATAGTATTTATAGAGGTTGGATTGAATATTTTGATTCTTATTTTATAAAAGTGTTTTTTTTAATACAAGTTGGTATAACTAGAGGAAACAAAAATATCTTTTATAAAAATTTAATATAAAGAATATGTTAGCAGATCTTTTTAATCCAATTCATTTTAATTATTAAAAAAATTAGCTCAGGTATTAGCCCATCTTGAAGCCCAATCCACCCCATATAAATACCTCAAAACCCCAATTGATTCCTCAGCCTCCACTCCAAAAATCGATCATCTCTCTACATCAACCAAACCCCAAATCTCAATTCTAGTGTCCACTGATTTAATCACATTTTCTCAATGGTTAAGTTGCAGGCCTGTTAGCAACCCTCCTAACGAGTTGTAGGGGGCGGTGTAAGAAGATTGCTAGCGAGCTTAGCGAGGTCGGTGGCGACCTCCACTCCGTTTAGCCTTACCTATTACTATTATCAAAGGGTTTCTAACCCAACTGAATCAGATGTCTTTTCTTTCTTGAAGTTGAGTATCTAAGTTACGGTGAGCATATTTTGGTTTGGTACGGTTTTTTACTAAAATCGAAACTGAACCGATAATTTCCATTTTTTATTTTAGAAAAACCAAATCATGTTTTTTTTATTCAGTTTCGGTTTTTTCAGTTTCTATCGGTTTTTCGATTTTTTTTTTTTATTTTGGTTTTCGGTTTTTTCCTTTAACAAATAACATAAATACAACTTTTGGTGGGCATCAACATATACTCTCCCTATATGTTTATGAACTATTTGAAATACTTTTTAATTTACGTCGAAACTTCTTTCATATGTTAGAATGACTCACTAATATCTAATATGTAACTAGACAACGTTGCAAGTTGTGTACATTTCTTATACTTTCTTTCTTTTTACTTTACTTATAACTTCAACAAAAATGAGACAGTTTTATACAAGTATTACACAATATATGTTCAATTTATATACGTGTAACGTGCTTATAAATATTTTATTAAAGTATAATATAAAAATAATTTGGATATTATAAATACTTTAATGCAAGAAATCGAACGGATGTTTGATAAAAAAAATATCGTTGTAGTTTTTTGAAGAACATCACAGTAACATTTTCATAAAAAAAAACATTACAATCAAAGCAATTGTCGGAGTAAACTAAAACATATATATTGGTAGTTCAATTTTTTTGGTTTTTATATTTAAAAAACAAAACAAAACGAACCGAAAGAAATCGGTTTTTATAAAAAGCAAAAACCAAACCGTAGGTTTTTCAAATGGTTTGGTTTTTCGGTTTCAATTATTTGGTTTTTTTCTGCTTTTGGTTCGGTTTTGGTTATTGTACACACCTCTAGTTCAAATTTTGTTGTTGACATTAGGGCCGGCAAGATTGTACCATGAACAACCAACTAACATGTTACCAACCGAACCAAGAAAGTTGATAGCCAATATAGTTGGTAGCCAACATGCTTGGTTGGTAGTACCATACCAATTGAGCGATGTTGGTACGGTAATGGTATAAAAGTTAGAATACTATGGTAATACTGTACCAACCAATTCTTTTGTTATATATATATATATATATATATATATATATATATATATATATATATATATATAAACAAAATCGTATATTTCATCTGCTAATTGTGTTTAGTGTTTACATTTTTAAAAACATTATACAATTCATTTGGTCGCATTAGTCAATAGTTACTACCACGTTAAAGCACAAAAGGAAAACGTTACTTTAACGTTAGTTCAATAGAATTCTTTTATAAACTAAAAGAATTATGAAACTATTTTCTATATTAAACATCAAAAGTACTCAATGTATTTGCTTATTTTTAAATCTTACAATAGAAATTAAAAGAAATTGGTATATATCATTACCAATTTGTACCAACCAAACTTGTTGGTAGCCAACTATATTGGTACCAAGTATACTTGGTACGGTACCGGTAGCATTTTTTTGTTACCAATTATAGTTGGTACGGTACACGGTTTAGAGAAAAATAAAATGATACCGTACCAATTCCACCCCTAGTTGACATAGATGAAATTAGATGTTAGCTTAATAGTAAATTAGATTTGCTGGTTAAAAAAATATTGATAAATAAAAATAAAAAAATTAATTCCTAGTTTGACCTAATTTTATTCGCCATGTGATATTTTATGTACCCAATAAAAATATAGCATGTTTCCAGTTACCGAAAATTTCTTATAACTAATTGTGGGCGGCTCCAAAAATGAAGCCACAACTTCAAAATTAAGTCGGCGTTACTATTCATTAATGCTTTTTACACACTTTCGATTGTTAAATTATTAAAATTACAAATAAGTTTAATAAGATACAACAAAAGACAAAGAAGTTTCACCTCTTTATCTTTTTTAGAAGTTGCACCGCTTTATTCTTTTGGACATTGGAGGAAAGAATCTGGGGTGCCAAATACCTGCAAATCACAACAAACACTATAATAATCATATCCATATCCAATTTGACTACTTTTTGGTGGGATTAGATTGAGATGAATGTGTAGCAGCCTTAGACTTCCATAGTGAGATGGATTTAAGAAGGGCAAATAATGATCCAATCAAATCCTAACTCACGACAACTTGCATCATACAAACATATTTTAATTATTAAAAGAGATTACAACACTAAAAAAGCTCAATACAAAAGTTAATATATTATTTATTTATAAAGAAATTTCATTAAATAACCATATCTTAAGGGGTGTTTTCACATTTTAAACATAAAGTTTTGAAATTTGTAAAATGATCATCAGATCCGCAGAGGGTGCTCTGTGGATCTATTTACCCTTCTGAGGATCTTAGCACACCTCTGCGGAAATGAGGTGTCAGCACTAAATGACAAAAATTTTCAAGTGTTTTTAAGGTTTTGCAGAGGTAGCTCTAAGGATCGCTTAATGACTATGAGGATCGGTTAATCGCTCTGAGGATCTGTTCTTGAGCAAAACATAGTGTCAAAATCAACAAATCTATTTTTTTAAATAACTTTTGTTACTTAATAATCCTTTTTAATAATTTTTGTTACTTAATAATCCTTTTTGCATATAAAATCAAACAAAAAAATTAATAATTTCGCTGAGATGAACATCGATCCTCAGAGGGGGCTATGTGGATCTGTTCGTGAGCAAAACACATATACGGATCTGTTCTTTGCCGAAACGATATTTCCATGGCAAAAATCGGGCAAAAATTTGGGATTTACTAATCACTAAACTATCATACACCCTAACAACATACAGTTAACTCAAAAAACGGGCAATTGCGTTTTCATACCTAAAAATTTGGCATTATGCGTAACATCCCAATTTTCAAGGCTAAAAATTCCATTTTTAATTAAGTAACATGTAAAATCATTTGTCAAAACATTGCTAATAGTATATTAATTCATAAAACCATTACGTCGCGTCTCAAAAACATATCATCGAATAATAATAAAATCAGAGTACGATCCCAGAAAACTCAATGCGGAAATCATGCGTGTGTGGGATGTGTCGCTACCGCACCGGCTCCTTCCCCTTCGCTGAAGAGGTACCTGAAACAAAACTGAAAACTGTAAGCATG